GCTGTGTGGCAGATGGAGCTTGTCACGGCATCCTCACCTGCTTGTCCCCACAGCTCCCCTGCCCCGGCCATCGAGGGGCTGGGACATGGGGAGCAGCACCCCAGTGCCGTGCTCTGTGTCAGCCCCATGCTCTGTCACCTTTGCAAACACGGGGATGCTCCTACTCACTTCCAAGCTCATAGCCTGGGGAACTGGGGGACCCCAGCTCCTGTTCTCAGAGGCACTGTCACCCCCAGATCCCGACCGAGCCATGCTAGCAGCACACAGGCCCCTCCAGACACAGATATTAGTGGGAAATTTGTATTTTTACCCACTTCAAACACTGTTTCTTCCTGCCCTCCCTCCCTCCTCGGCCAGCCTGTGGTGGGAAAGCATTAAGAAATAAAACAATATCAAATGCAATCAAAGGCAGGCTGGTGGGAGTTTGCCTTTTGGGGTTTCCTTCTCTTTTATTGCTTTCCCAAAGAATAAACATTTGGGAGGGCTCTGGGGTGATTTAGTGGAGCAGGAAAGGGCAGGAGCCCGGGAGCTGCCTGGTCCCTTTGGCAAATCTCATAGGATGATGGTCCAGCCTTGGGAATTTTCTTTCCAGTAGAAGTGACTGCCCAGTCAGATAAGGCTGGGAATAGCCTGGCCTGATGGGGAGGCTGCTTCGCCCCCCAGCACTGGGGCTGGGGTCAGTGGGAGCTGCTGGGACAGGGGCTAGGGCAGAGGATGCTGCCATGGAGAGGAGGAGGGACTGAAGTGGGTGAATTCACAGAAGTGCAAAGTGATGACCTTTAAGAAGCAATTTTCCTCTCCTGCTGCTATTTACCCAGCCTTCCCAGGGCTCCTTCTGCCCAGTCCGACCCTGTACGTGTGGACCAGGCCGGGAGATGCTGGGCTGCCCTGGTGTTGAGCCACAGCTGTCTCCTGTCCAGGGCTGGTTTGTGGAGCTGAATGCAATGTTTACTGCTGGAACGGCAGCTCTGCAAGAGGCTGAACCTTCCTTCCTGCCGGGTGTCCTTGGGCAGGCGAGCTGGGAGGAGAAGCTGTCCATTTGTCCCCAGGCATCCCTCTTGCCTTGCCTTCCTCCCCCCTACACCGCTCAGACTGCGGGATGAGCTGTGCCCGGGCTCTGTGGATCCACACCCGGCTGAGTGGAGGCTGCAGCGTGGTGTTTACCTGCACAGCTATCTGCATTCACCTTCGGAGAGGTTACCTGCCTGCTGCCGGCGCTGAGCCAATCTGCATCCAGCAGCTGGGCTGATGCGGGGAGCAGAGCTCTGAGCGGCCGTGCAGCACAGCCCAACATCAGCCCCGGGCCTGGGGGGCTCCAGCATCCCTTGACCCCGGGGAGATGGGTGCTTGGTAGGGAGCGAGGCTGGAATGCCAATGCTTCCCTGGAGCATCCTTGTAGCATCCACATCTCTGCTGGCACCCTGTCTCTCCATAGGCACCCCAGTATCTGTAGGCACAACGTCTCTGCAGATACCCAACCTCACAGACACCCCTCTCTGTCCTCACCCTGGCCCCTCTGCCAGCCTCTGGCCCCAAAGTGGACCATGGCACGGGTGGGTTTTCACACATGGGGGGGTGGCTGCTGTCTCACTGACCCCCCGAGCCAGCCATCATCACTAGGATTATTTTTTAAATCAGGTTCCTAAAGCTGACAGTACGATTTCCAGGACCCGCTCCCCACCTTTTCCACCTCCTTACCCACAGAACCAGTGTGGATGTCACACGGTGCTCCAGCAGATGCAGGCTGGGGATCCTCTGTCACAAGGGACAGAAAGAAGCTCAGTGGAAAGCTCCCAGCCACATCCTGGCAGCAGGCAGCAGGCAGGGCACAGGCAGGGCACAGGCTGGGCACAGGCAGGGCAGCGAGCGGCAGGGAACAGTGACAGCACCACAGGGCACACAAAGCCACGGGTCTCCTGAGCAGCGCCAAGACCTCCAAATACATCTGGAGGACTGCATCATATGTAGATAGATATAAAATGTATTGTTAGATCCTGAGTATCATCCTAATTTGCTGGTAGCAGAGCCCCAAGTGATGTACAGCTTTTGGCAGACAGATGAGACATGGGTTTTCCGAAGTTTAAAATAAACCAATTTTCCTGCCCGTGCACTGCTGGGCTTTTTGTTCAGCCAATTTTTCCTCTGCCAAGAAAACAATAAAAATAAGTGAAAGTATTTGTAGTTATTTACTGCAATATCTAAAGAAAGTAAATGAAAATCACACTATTGCTTAGAAAAGTATCCCCAAAACAAAGCCCTCTGCTATGTAAACATAAACCCACAACAGTGTGGCAGAGCCTGATGATTATTTTATTTCAGGAGCTGTTTGGAACATCAGCTTCACAACTGATCAAATAGAGAAACAACAGCATCCAAGGGGCAGTTTTCTAAAGCTTCCTCTTAAAGTGAATATACTGGTCAATTAATAAAAAGGATTTGTAATAAAGAGCAATAGATGTCCCATCTGTGTGGGGATGGGAATCCTCCCAGCAGCTCGGTTTGGGTGGGGTGATCTCACAGTGTACAATGCACTGAGCAACGGGAATGTGCTTTTTGCAGGTTTGTGCCCTAAGGAGAGGGGAGCTGGTGGTCATCAGCGGGGGCTGGCAATTGCCCCCCAGGCTGACGGGCACCGACCCAGCAGCGAGCGGAAAGCGGAGGGAGGCTCCTGTCCCGGGCACGGTGCCGGCTGTCCGGGTTCAGGTGTCCAGGAGCACCTCGGTGCCTTCAGCGCTGCTTCCTCCGCCGGCACCCGGGGGGGCCTGTAAAACCAGAGGGTGGCTTGGCTGGGCTGGGGGCTGCTGGTCATGTCCCCACCACCCCCCAGGACCCTGGCAGTGGGGCCAAGCGCTTTTGGGCACCCTGGGGCCAGCTCCTGCGCATGGGGCAAGTGTGGGTTCCCAACCATCCCCCCTCCCTTGGGTTCTGGGGGGGAGGAAGAGGAGGAGGAGGCTGCCTGCCCCCCCCCCCCCC